AAAAAAAAAACATATATTCCTCAGTATATATTAAAAAAAACAAAAACATTCACGTGCACTTATTCGACTGTTCTTTTTTTTTTTTTGCATTCTTTTCTTACTCCTTTGTCTCTCTGTATCTGTATCTCTCCATCTCTCTCTCCCTCCTTTCTCCCTCTCTCTCTCCCTTTCTCTGTGTCTCTATCCACCTTCCATTTCTTGAATTCGTTAATTGTGCTCAAATTTTGCAGTTGGTTTTGACCTAAACTTTTTTTTTGTTTGTTTTTTTTTTTGTTTTTTTTTGCGGGCATTGACCGCACCGCCTGCACCGCGGGCGCTTAGCTAGTCACTGTTAAGCTGGATCTGTCAACATACTGGGGTTGAATTGAACAGTGTACACACAATTTGGGCTCCAGTTAAACAGATCATGGCTCAAATCCTGGCTTCAAAAAAAGAAAAAAGGGGAGCTGGATGCGTCAAACATTGACAATGTCTGTGACCTTTGTTACAGGGCAATCACTTCTACAGGAAGCAGAAGCAGGAAAAGGACCCAATGCTTGTTCGTTAGTCCTTGTCTTGTACACACACTTCGCTTGTGTGTGCTTGTGTTCTTGTGTGTGTTTGCGAGTGTGGTTTTTGTTATATGTTTGCAACTTTGCGTAGTTCGGCTCAGCATCAGAATCACATCCCGTGTATCCTAAATGTCTTTTTTTTCAGGTGTCGATTTTCTTATCAATCAGTTTGTCAAACTTTGTTTCCTTGGTTTGATGCAGTGTGTCTGTGTGCCTTGTAGACACCAGCACAGCAATGCAAGAGGAACCTGTCCGAACATTGAATTGAAGTAATTTGTTTTTTCTATGCAGGTGGACTGGTGCGCCAATCCTTGGCCATTTATGAAGGGGTGCTTCTCTGCAGATGATTATCTCAGCAAGGGATGTCCTTCGACATGCAGAGTGAATTGCTGCACAGCAAGGCTGATCATGATCTGATACAATCCGCGCCGTATCAAGATTCTGTACACAAGGGAGAGATGGAAGAAGGCTCTCTGATTGTGCAAGCCGAGACCATCTCCTCTTTGAGGAGGCATTCATGACAGTGATCGCGGTGATGATCAGTAGTTCAATCGCATGGCCAGCCCAACGCCCAGTGAAAAGTAGTGGTCGGAGCCTGTGCGCTGCCACTGTTTGTTTTTCGGAGACCGCACTGTGGATGGCTGGGCCAAAGAAGAAAGTCCCCCACAGATGTGCAGGTAATCTCTGGGAGGAGCAAGAGAGATGACACCGATGACCTTTATACGGTGAAAAGTAAAGGTGAAATTGCCCTCACTAAAACTAAACAAGCGCGTTCTTGCACATCCAGTTAAATTGGAACGATACAGGGAAGATTAGCACGTTCCTTGCGCAAGGATGAAACCAAACAAGAGAGTCCTTCGGGACATCGGTTAACATTGAAACGATACAGAGGAGATTAGCATGCTCCCTGCGCAAGGATGACATGCATAAATCGGGAAATGGTCCAAACAAATTATTAAAAATAAAAAATAAAAACTTTAAAAATAATAAAAAAGGAAAAACTAAACAAAAGTGGCAGAATAGTTTGGTGCAACTGACAGTAAGCGCCAGTGGCTGAATGCGACACACATGTAACTGTTGGTAAACAGGTCATGAGTTCGAGTTCGATCGTGCTGACGAAACCGGGGGAATACAACGGCATTGATAGCTGATGAAGCCTTTTTCCTTTGAAGTTTCGTGGAAGTTTTGTGGAAGTAGTAAAAATTGTAAAATGCAGTACTTGGGGGTGTCTCCATCCAGTAAGAATCAGAGTACCGGTGAACACGTCCGTGCTAGTGAGCCATAATAATCTTAGATGGCCAAAGGGCGGAGATGAAGGCATCGTCCCCTTATGTGAAAGGCTATCAGCCGAGAGGAGCATTGGGGTAAGCATTGGGGTGAGATGCTCCACGCCGAGTAGTGCCCTCGCATCTCCTCCCTTCTCGTCCATTCCATACAATGTGTGGATGGGTGGGTTGGATTCGTCCGTAGGTCCAATGTTCAAGCTTGAAGCTGTGTGTGTCTGTGGCCTTCATGTTTTGGGGATTGTTGATCCGATATCTGGGGTTGTACAGTGGCGGTTTGACAAAGGGACCGGGAAACCGCAGCATTTTTTCGCTGTGGTATTGGGGGGAAAAAAGGAGTGTGTGTGTGTGTGTGTCTTTTACAAGGTATCTGGTATCAGTTTGCGGTGGGATTGACAGGTTTTATGACGTATCTGGCATCAGTTTATGGTGGCACTTTGCAGGTGTATCTGGCATCATTTGTTGGAGAATTGTGGAAATAATCTCTCTCTCTCTCTCTCTCTCTCTCTCTCTCTCTCTCTCTCTCTCTCTCTCTCTCTCTCTGTGGTCGGAGGAGGAGGTGGATATGGAGGGCAACACACACACACACACACACACACACACACACACACACACACACACACACACACACACACACAGACCTGAGACTTGGTGATTATTCGGGCTATGTCCAGACTTGGACAGTGCATTCGGATGGAGACTGTTGGGGACTATTGAGGGAGACTATGCTTTTCTTCGGCAGAGACATTGAGTTGCAGTCTCTTGTTCTTCTTTCCATGTATGTGTCACCATGCCTATCTCTTTGTGTGTATGGTTATGGGTGCATGTATCTGTCCCGAGTCCTGATGAGTCAGAACTATGTTTTTCAGTCTTTCACTGCATGACATTGTTGTTTCTCTTCATTGGTGAATTCTTGGTTTTGCACCATGCCTATTGCTATTTATAGGCATGCGACACTCTCTCTCTTTTTATCTTTCTCTCTTTCACACACACACACATTCTTGTCAGCGGCTTGGACCGACAGTCTGCCATGATTGCAGGTTTGGTGTGAGTGAAGTTGGCCACTTTTCTCAGGGTAACTCTGGGCGAGGTGGTCCTTATCCATCAGTGAAGTGCATCCCGGGGCAGACTGTCAGAGTTCACCCCTTGTGAGTCGGTGAAAGTCTAACGAAACAGGCTGGCACAGTCATGCTTTTTTGTGTGGAGTTGTGTATAGCAAACACGACAACATGCACACAGTTTGTTAATCCCAAGTACCTGTGTGTGTGTGTGTGTGTGTGTGTGTGTGTGTGTGTGTGTGTGTGTGTGTGTGTGTGTGTGAGAGAGAGAGAGAGAGAGAGAGAGAG